AAAAAAAAAAAAAAAAAAAAAAAGAAAAAAAGTGACTGCTTCAAGTCAAAGGTATTAGAGACTGGAAGGTTTCTGGTGCATAGTAGGAACTGGGAGGAGGATAAAGATCAGTTCCAGGCCAGGCGCTGTGGCTGTAATCCCAGCACTTTGGGAGGCCGAAGCAGGAGGATCGCCTGAGCTCAGGAGTTCGAGACCAGCCTAGTCAACATGGTGAAACCCCGTCTCTACTAAAAATACAAAAATTAGCTGTACATGGTGACAGGCACCTGTAGTCTCAGCTACTCAGGAGGCTGAGGCAGGAGAATTGCTTGAACCCAGGAGCAGAGATTGCAGTGAGCTGAGATTGCGCCATCGTACTCCCACCTGGGGGACAGAGCAGAGACTCTGTCTCAAAAACAAAAACACAGCTCCGATTGCAGGCTGTTCATCAAGGGCAGGGAATTGCACTCATTCTCCTCCAGCCCCTTCCCTTACCCAGGTCCAAGCAGCCTCCTTTGTCTACAACCCCAGGGCTCTTGCTCCAGGCCGTCCTGAGGTTGGAGGCGAGGTCGGTGACCTGGCCCCGCCCCCAGACCTTCCCACAGCTTCAGGTTCAGGAAAAGGCACATGAAGTTTGGTATAAACAAGGACACAACTTCACGGAGTTTCTCACTGATTTAAATATTGTAGTCTTTAGAGAGTGGGTCACATGACTCAGGAACTGCCAGCAGCCTGTTTTCACCCAGCGGCTTCCTGGTTTACCCCCTTTAGGAGACCATTAATGGAAATTGAGAATCTGTCTCACATGTTTTTTTGTTTTTGTTTTTTTTTTTTTAAGCAGCACAGTTTTAGGAACGATTCTTCCCAAGGAAATTGTTTGTGAGCTCCAGTCTAACTGGGCCACTTTGTGGGAAGGGGAGCAGCCTGGTGGCCTTTGGGAGGTGAGGGGGAGACAGAACAGCTCAGCCAGCCCAAACCTCCACTTGTCCTCCCTCCTCCTCCCACCCCTGCCAATTAAGACCAGTCACCAGAGGCAAGAACCTCCTAGATCAGAAGCGACCCAGGAACCAGGCTTCAGAACCCCGATCTTCATTAATATTTTCTAAACTTGCCTAATCATAGAACTGAGCTATAATTCTTTAAAAACAAAACAAAACAAAAAACCACACACATACAAAACAGAGACAAGGGTCTCATGTTGCTCAGGCTGGTATGGAACTCCTGGCCTCAAGCCATCCTCCCACCCTGGCCTCCCAAATGCTGGGTGCCTGAGCCACCGAACCCAGCCCTGGGCTGGAATTCTTAATCCCGCTCCCGCTGCTTTTTGCAGGCCTCACTTCTGACCCACTGGGTCTAGGTTTCCGGGAGAGAGCCTCTTTCCCTGTGTTCCAGGCAAACGCCCCCCAGTAACAACTCCCATTTCCAATGAGCTTAATCTGTGCCAGGAAGTGTTAAGTGTCCTCTGACTCATGTTATCCTCACAATGAACCTGGAAGTTAAAAAATTTGCCCAAGAAGACACAGTTATAAGGATGGAGCCGGAAGTCTAATCTGGGTATGACTGTAGAGACCACAAACTAGGAGGCAGTGGCTTCTCAGGCAGAAACAGGAAGATTCTAAGCCGAGAATAAGGACTAGAGGACCTGGGTGGGGCGGGGTACTGCCCAGATGGCGCCAATGGCAGTTCAAAGGTGAGTGTTTCCTACAAGCTGAGCCAGCGCCCAGCCTCTGCTCCCCCACAACCTGGGAAGCCGGCACCCAAGATAACCTGAGCACCCCGTTACCTTGGAGCCCTGAGGCTGTCTCTGGGCCACCCACTCAAGGTGGCCCCCCTACCTGCTCAAGGCTACAGAGGGCTGTCTTGCCCAAACAGCCACACCCCCGGGCCAACCCAGTGCTGTGTGCCAAGGGAGTTTCTGAGAGAGCCACCTGATACCCCACGTGACAGCCGGCCTTTCCCCCATCACCCGGGGCCACCCAGGCAGAGAGCTGAGAACACAGGGGCCATGAGCCTCGCTATCACCCCCACCCCCAAGTGCTTCACTCCCAAGGGACAGCTCTAAGCTCCCCAGAATCTCAGGCTGGTGGGTCCAGCTGAGCATCCTAGTTTTCACTTTCTCCTCCCAAAAAGGAAAGAACCTTGGCCACTAAACTCTACACCTTCTGGAAATCACTCTAATGACTTCCTGAATGATTGACGGAGGCCAACAGTTGGCCCAGCCCTGCGTGGAGCAGAAACAAACCTTATCTGTCATAGTTAAGGGCCCTGAATGGGGACAGGTCAGAGCCCAGGTCCCAGGACAGTGCAGGCAAGTAGAGCAAGCACCGATCTAGCACTAAGATGGGGTCTGAATGACCCTGTAAGGTCCCCCACCTGATTTCCCATGTGGGACCCTGAAGTCAGAGAGGGGCCCGAGAGTTGCAGGGGGCTGGGGGATGGTGTTGGTGAGTTAATCTGCCTTTACTTCAAAACCCAGAAAACCCCAACTATTGGAAAGTGAAACCTCCCAAAGCAAAGCCACCGCCCATCCTCCTTCCCCGCTCTGATTCAGACATGTTTTCCCTGCCCCAGCAGAAACAAGGCCCTTGAAAGCAAGACAGGAATAAAGAGAGCCTCGAGGGATACAAAGATCTGCCCCTGATTTGGGGTTTGGGGGGCTAGTACAACGTACTCACATCTAGAAGTGCAGCTAGCTGCAACCAACGCCTCGGATGGGGAACTCTCACCCAGCCTACGGGATCACTTCCCAGCAGGGCAAGGCAGGCCAGGCCCAGGGGTGGGGCTTGGGAGTTAAAGAGCCCGTGCAGCTGGTTCTCATTTTATCCTCCGGGCTGCCTCTGCTGCAGCCGAGGGCGCACTGCTCCCTGCGTGCTCATGAGTTTCTGCCTCGGAGCCAGCTGCCTGCACTGGAGTGGGACTGGGAGGGGTTGGAGGGCCCGAGATGGGGCAGGTGCGCCTCTGCCCATCTGGCATTCATTTTCCAATCTGGGTGAATACAATTCTGCCTCTCCCTTGAAGTGGGGCCTAAATGTTGAGCTCCAGCTACAGCCCCTCCTTTTAAGAGATGATAGCTCTGGATCTTTTATTTCAGACTCAGAAAATTCAGTCCAGGTCTCCGAATAGGTGTTCCATAGAAAACACACACACACACACATGCTCACACACTCTCTCTACAGGTGTTCAATAGAAAACACACACACACACACACACTCACACTCTCTCTTCCTCTTTCCTGCAATGTGCTGTTTGGGAGCTTGAGGTTTCTCTCTTCTTCCCAAGTTTCTCAGTGCCTGGGCTGGGGAAGGAGGGCCCAGGCCCCAGCAGGTACAGACACTGCAGCCTAGAGGCAGGAGCAGTGGGAGTCAGTACTTCCGCTGCCGAGGGAAGAGACTACTCCCGGAGGATCGGAGTGGGGGGCTGGCAGGGCTGGGGTCTTCCGAGTCCAGGCTGAAGAGGTCTCTCCCAGTACGAAGGATCTGCTCTTCCAGCTTCTTGTGTCTCTTCA